CCCCCCCCCCCCCGCAGCCCAGGCGATTTTAGGTCCCGACATGGCTTTATACCTAAAATTATATTTTATGACAGTATTGGTATTAGGGATAACTATAATCCAGACTGGGTTTGTTATTATACAGTAATTATTATATTATTTTTCTTCTGATTATAAAAGAAAATTAAAACATTTTTGTGAGCTCCCATCCTTGTGCCTAGTGGAAAAAGCTGCCCTGCTGTGCTGTTCTAGGAATTGCAACAGTGAACAAAACAGTGCTTGATTTCGAGAAGCTTACATTCTAGTTAGTAAGAAAGATACAATAAACAAAATTAAGTACATTTAACATGCGAGGTGGTTATAACTGCTAAGGAGAAAAAGCGGAGAAGGGAAATAGGGAGTCTTGACAATTTAGACCGAGTGGACACGAAGGCTTCACTGGGAAAGTCTCGGAACAAACCACGAGTGCGCTTGCGAGAAAAGCAATTCAGGAAGGACCAGCCTCAAAAACAAATCCCAGCGCAACGTTCCCTAAAGGGTCGCTCCCAGAGTTACGTATTCCCACAGCCTATGAGCGAGGCCGTAGAAAGTCTGGTCACACGTACCTGCAGCCGCAAACTCCATTTTGCTTCCTGGCACCAGTCTAAGGTACGCCTGCTCCTCACTGCCATACTTACCCGCTCTTCAACCCCGATGCCGGTCTTTTTCATCTCCGGGTGAACCGCAGAGGGAACCCGGTGGCGGGGGAGGGAAGCAGTGAGGGCCAGCCGCGGTGGGGAAGGACCGGGGTGTCCCGCGCTGCCCTCACACAAGATGGCGGCCAGAGCCTTGCGCTCGGTCCCATCGGGCAGCGCGCGAATGCTTATCCCGCAGTCTCCCGCACCGCACCGGGGGGTGGGTTTTTACTGAGACGAGGACGTGCGCCGTGAGGCCGAGCTCAAGTCGTCGGCGCCGCGGTTGCCTCCGCTGCCTCCGCTCCCGCCGTCAGCACCACCGCCACACCACTCCCAGACAGTGGAGGGGAGGATGGAATCCGTGACCGTCGCTACCGACGGCGGGGACAGGCCGGCGGTCCCGGCAGGCTCAGGCCTGTCAGCTTCCCAGCGTCGCGCGGAGCTGCGGCGGAGAAAGCTGCTCATGAACTCGGAACAGCGCATCAACCGGATCATGGGCTTTCACAGGCCCGGGAGCGGCGCCGGTGAGAGCCGTGATTTTTCATGTCTCTCGCCCCCCCCCCCCATTAAGTTTTCGGGATCATCCCTCCCCACCTCCACTCCGCTGACCTTTTGACCAAGCCCTGCTCTCTGACCTCTTCCCCGGCCCCGCCCTTCAGATGATACCCCAAGTTCTCACTCCTGTATCCCGGGACCTTCCTAGTCGCTCTCCCCTAATTTTCCGGGAGCCTCTTCTTGAGATTGTCCCCATCCCCGCTGCAAAGCCTTCGATCCTGAGTCCCTCTGCCGTGCTTCCTTCTGCCCAGTTACCCGGAGACGGCCCCTTTCTCCTTCCCTACCCCGTCGCCTTTCTTGAAGGGAGCATTGTATGCCCAGTCCGCTCTGCCCACTACGCCCCTCAGGAAGATTTCTGTCCTTTCTGTCCGTTCCAAATGTTTTTCCTTCCAGTGCCTTCCCTAGTGTCTATTTCTTTTGCCTTTTGCTGTAGAACTCTTGTCCGCCCACATCAGCTTGTCTTTACTGAACTGCCCCCTAGTCCCTCCTACGTGGATCAGGCACTCTTATGGTCATATCCTAGTGTTCAGTGCCCTCAACGCTGTCACCTACAGGCCTTCTAGAAGAGGTGAAAAAAATAGGAGTGAGCATTCTTTATAGACCCAGCAAGTGCGACGTGCCCACTTGAGGTTTCTTTTCATTAGCTGAGCTTGATGTGATTGATGTCTGGAACATCAATCCTTATTTATCCCCCAAAGACATGTCTATCGAGTTTTTTAAATAATTTTTTTTCATGTGGACATAATTGAACATTTAGTATGTCTTAGCATTATCTAAGTGTCCATCGAATGTTTCCTTTAGTAATTGGCCTTTAGTCACTGGTTGCATGCTCCTTAGATCTTAGTGTCTTTTGTTCTGTGAGGCTTTAGATATATAGCTCTGAAAGTCTAAACAATTCAAACGAGAGAGGTAAGAGCACCACTTCATATTCTTTCAGGACAACAGTTAGGACAAACATTTTCTTTTAATGACTGGTATCAGGATACTATTTTTTTTTTTTTTGGTGGCTGGCCGTTCCAGGATATTTATTCTTTCCCAAAGCATTGTTTGTTATCTTTCTTGAGGCTCTTTTTATATTTTGTTCTTTTGCTTTGAAAAATTTATCTGTCTCGAAGTCTTTTTGTTTTTAAACCAGAGCAGCATCCTAAAACTGCTGAAGTACCTACTAATGGCTGCCTGACTACATAAATAATAGCTGTAAGATATGCCACACCCTATGCTAACAGGGCTCTGCATTCAGAAATCTAATTTTAAATACAGATTTTAAAAAGCTTTAATGATTTTATATTTTTAACCAAAGAAGCTATGAAGACAATGTAGTCATACTTCTGGGGTACATTATCCGTGAAAAGTTAGTCTTTCAGCTTCCTCCATCCCTGAATGTCTTTCCCAGTTTGTCTACTGGTCTTATCTCTTACTCACAAAGTTTGAATTATTTCCTCTGCAGGAATACTCTTTTTGGATGATATATTTTGAGGATATAGAGCAAGGAACTAGTTTTCATTTTATGCAGAATGAGTATTTATTTCGGTTCAGATATTGTTGACTTCTAGCTGCAGCAGCATATTTTTTAATACTAACATGTAAGGTGTTTGCCAGTATGTAATACATAAAGCTTTTACATTTCTGTTTTTAGAAGAAGAAAGTCAAACAAAATCAAAGCAGCAGGACAGTGATAAACTGAACTCCCTTGGCGTTCCTTCAGTTTCAAAGCGAGTAGTGCTGGGTGATTCAATTAGTTCAGGAACAACTGACCAGCAGGGTGGAGTGGTCGAGATAAAGGGGACCCAACTGGGAGACAAATTGGACTCTTTCATTAAACCACCCGAGGGCAGTAATGATGTCAACCTTGAGCTTCGGCATCGGAACAGAGAGGACCTGACAGCGGACACTGTCCAGAGGGGTTCTCACCATGGTCTAGAACAGTACCTGTCCAGATTTGAAGAAGCAATGAAGCTAAGGAAACAGCTGATTAGTGAAAAACCCAGTCAAGAAGATGGAAGTTCAACAGAAGAATTTGACTCTTTTCGAATATTTAGATTGGTGGGATGTGCTCTTCTTGCTCTTGGAGTCAGAGCTTTTGTTTGCAAATACTTGGTAAGACAAGAGCTGTAAACTGTTAACTAACTTAATGGAAAACGCAAATTGGTTATAATAATGAGTGCTTTTAATCCACAGACATCATTGCTGATATTAATTTAATGTCTACTAGATGCACATAGCTGTTTGGAGGTGTATTATAAAGTTTGCTATTCATCTTATTTATACAATGAGGTGTTCTGGCTAAATATACAGAGCCTAATAGTAAAAATTACTAAATTCTTTCTACATGCTAGGCACCATTTTAAGTACTTTACATATATTAATTCTATAATTCTTATCCTCATGAACTGGGTATCATTTGTTTTTTATTTATTTATATTTTAACTTATCAATATACAATATAGTTGATTTTTGTGTCCCTTTACCGATTCTCCTTTTCTTCCCTCCCTCTCTCCCCTCCCCCCCACCAACATCATATCTGTTCACTTGTCTTAACAAGTTCAAGGAATTGTTGTGATTGTTGTGTCTTCTCCCTCCTCCCCCCAACCCCGTTCATTTGTATATTATTTATTTTTATTAGCTCCCACAAATAAGTGAGAACGTGTGGTATTTCTCTTTCTGTGCCTGGCTTATTTAACTTAATATGATTTTTTCTAATTCCATCCATGTTTCTGCAGGTGGTAGTGTTTCACTTTTTTTTTAATAGCAGAGTAGCATTCCATTGTATAGATATAAACTAGGTATCATTTGGATCCATGAGGGAATGAGCACTCAGAGAGATCCTCATTTGCCCAGGGTCACATAGCTATTAGATGACAATTGGGATTAAACCCAGGCAGTTTCATCTCAGAACCAAAGGGTCAGATGCCTACGTATGATGTATACTAATTACCAATTTTCCAATAACTTAAAATATTAAAATACAGTTCCTTTGGTTCTGAATATGAGGTAATTTTTCTGTGGTTCAGAAAGCACCTCAGCATTCTATAATGTTGTAGTAACATTATGATGACAGTCCATTTTTGTTGTACTGTGATGGGGTCCTTTTGTTTTATAGTATGTGGGAAAATGCAGAAAAGCATGGCTCATAGTTTAGTGTCTTGCTCTCTGAGGTATTTCCATTCAGTAGTCGTTTTAACAATACCTACCATGTATCAGGCACATAAATAAATTTCCCAGAAATAAGGTTTATATCATTAAGCACAACATCTTTTTTTTTTTTTTTTTAAAAAGATGACCGGTAAGGGGATCTTAACCCTTGGCTTGGTGTTGTCAGCACCACGCTTACCCAGTGAGCTAACCGGCCATCCCTATATGGGATCCGAACCCGTGGCCTTGGTGTTATCAGCACCGCACTCTCCCGAGTGAGCCACAGGCCGGCCCACAACATCTTTTTAAACCTATTTTTATACAAATGTTTTTGTAAATAGAATGTGTTGAACAGATCTGATTCCCCTTCCCATGACAAACTGTCATCAGCAAAGAGAAATGATGTTTTCAGCATTTAATGAGTTGTATAGCTGCTTTTTTGTCTCTTATGTAAAGGATTTTGTGCTTTCATGCCTTTAAACTTACAGTATGTCCTATTTTTGTTCCTCATTTTTGTACGAGGTTTTTTGTTTTGGTTTTCTGGTTTTTTTCACTGTCAGATTTTCAACTGTTTATCATTGCTTGCACCATACTGCCATCTAGTACCATCATAATACTTTTAATTATAGAAATAATTATGTAAATTAATGTTATTTTGGTTTTTTCACTTTGTCTGAGAAGCCAGATCATCAAGTCATTTTATCTGTAGTGAGAAGAGCTTTTCATTTCAGTGCCAGAGATGGTGGCCGTATGAGTTAATTTTTTGCCCCAAAGTCTGAGGAATGAATGGCACCTATTCTGAATGCTGGGCCTTTATGTGTGCTTGCAGGTTGTCAGTTAATTCCCTCTATGTGAGGTAGATATTACTGTACGATGTGTTATATATCATATGTCATCATGTGTGATATATTGGTATTATTTAATACTTTAAGTAACTTAAAAGATAAGTTTTTATGAGAGAAGACATTTTGGGGGGACACTAAAAGAATGTGAAAGAATTGTATGATTTGAGAAACATGTTTTATAGTTAGGAAATCAAATCTCTTTATTTTCTTCACCCTTCTGCAGAAACAAGATTACTTGCAGCCAGTAAAATTAAATATATTATTATAGTTTTTTTGTTTAGAATTTTATAGCTGCTGTTAGTTTGATTTATTGTTATTTGAATAATATGTTGGAAATACTTAATTTTGTCTTCTATCTTCGCAGTCCATATTTGCTCCATTTCTTACTTTACAACTTGCGTACATGGGACTATACAAATATTTTCCCAAGGTAAATTAAAATCTTTTCTAAAGTATCATGATGTATTTAGATTGATTCATAACTAGGTAATTTTAAGAACTTTTAAAAAAAGTTAGATCAATCATGCGTATGTAATAAAGCCAGAAAAAAAATTAGGCTTACTTGTTGTCTGAATCAGTACTACTCAAAATGTGGTTTTCCCACTAGTGCTGACCTTCAAAGTATTTGTTTCTGTTTGTAATGCATTAAGTTAAACGAGTGAGTAATTAGAAACTTTTTTAGCAATTTGACATTGCCATAACACTTTTATTATATTTTACAAATATGTTGGTCCACAGTTGATTGGGGGAAAAACTGGTCCTTCATGATGACAGTTTGAATAATACTTGTCTAAGAAAAGTGTTCAGTTTACTTAGTAAATTTAGTAATTCATTTTGTCTATAATAAAGGAAATTATTTTAAAAATGGGTTCCATTATCATTCTGTGCTCCTTACTGGACACTTAATAGCAGTGCTGTGCACTTTATCTTTGATGTTGAGGGCCTGATATTTGCAGGAAATATTTGGCCAGTATTACAGAACAGACTGCAAGTGAGAGTCAGTGTTTACCTGGTCTGCTTGACTGCAGATGTATACACAGTTTTATGATGCTTGGCTTGCATGACATAGAAGGTAACATTATTTGTGATAGAGTTTTGTGCACGCTTTTGCTGAACAATGGCTACTTGGCTGTTTGCTTAGTCATATCTAATGGGCTGACAGATCTGTGTGTGGTTTTAATGGATTTGAAACATTTGCATTTTTGAGGTGTCGAATACAGAAAGTAAAAGAGTACAGAAAGAAATGTGATTTTAATTAAAGTCTTTGTTTAGAAATTTGCCCTTGAAACATTGATTGCAGGGCCGGCCCGTGGCTCACTCGGTAGAGTGCGGTGCTAATAACACCAAGGCCACGGGTTCGGATCCCATATAGGGATGGCCGGTTAGCTCACTGGGTGAGCGTGGTGCTGACAACACCAAGTCAAGGGTTAAGATCCCCTTACCGGTCATCTTTAAAAAAAAAAAAAGAAACATTGATTGCAGTTATGCAATAGCAAAAGTTTGGAAACCACCTAAATGTCCACTAATAAGTGACTAAATAAAAAAAATTATGGCATATCTATTCAGAATGAAGAAGCTCTCCAAGAAATCTTAAGAGAAACAAAAGGTAGATTTCAAATGTTAAGGAAAAAAACAGTGTGCAGAATAGGATTTATATTATACTCCTTTTTTTGTGAAAAGGAGGAAAAATAATACATATTTGATTTTACTTACTTTTTTTTCCCTTTTTCATTTTTTTAGCAGCTGGTCGGTACAGGGATCTGAACCCTTGATCTTGGTGTTATAACACCACGCTCTAACCAACTGAGCTAACTGGCCAGCCTATCAACAGTGGTTATTAGTGATAGGTGTGTGTATGGCTTCCTAGGTGAATGAGGGAGAGAAAAGGAAGACTATTATATACTTTCTTCCAACAAAACATTTCGTTATAGCAGTTTTTACATATAAAAGTTGAAAGAATTGTGCAGTGAACACCCATTTATACCTCCCACCTAGATTCTATAGTTAACATCTCATATTTACCATGTATCTGTCCAATTTTCTATCCATTTTCATACCATCTTATTTTTCTTGATGTGTTTCAAAGTTTATTGTGGAATTACATATCAGTATACTTCACTCCTCTTATATAACATTGACCCAGAATTCAGTGTTTGTTTAGGGTTCTTTTTTTTCAAAGGTAAAATTTTCGTAACGGAAATGCTTAAGTCTTAAGTGTGCGGTTTAATAAGTTTTGACAGTTTTTTTTTTCTTTTAACAATGCTTTTATTTATTTATTGAAACATAGTTGATTGTACATATCTATGGGGTACCGTGTTGAATATCAATACCTGTGTGCAATATGTGATGCTCAAATCAGGGTAATTAGTATATTCAAAATCATGCAGTGTAATCATTTTCTGTGGCCCTTTATCAATTTCTCTCTAGTCCTCCTTCTCTCTCCCCCCTTCCCACCTCTGGTGACCTCAGTTCTGTTCTCTCCTTTCAATTCATTCTGTTGCACTGAATTGTCACGTGACACGATCTACTTGAAAATAACACAAACTGCTGGGTAGAGCAGAAGTTTTTGAACTGAAGTTTTGACAGTTTGTGAAACCCAAATCCCTTTCAAGGTTTAGAGCTTTGCCATTACCCTAGGAAGTTTGTTCATGCCCCTTTCCAGGCAGTCTCAGCCCATAAACCCCAAAGGTCTGATTTTCTTTTTCCCACCATAGATTAGTTATGGCTGTTTTAGTAATTCATATAAATGGGATTATTCCTGTTTGTACTCCTTTGTACAAACCTTCTTTCATTCTGCATAATATATACATATGTTTTTTGGCATCTGGCCAGCACAGGCATCCAAACCATTGACCTTGGTGCCTTGGTGTTATCAGCACTGTGCTCTAACGAAGTGAGCTAACTGGCTAGACCTATTCTGCATAATATTTTTGAGATTCATCCATGTTGTTGAACATGTCAGTTCATTCCTTTTTTTTTTTTTTTTGGCTGGGTAATATTCCATTGTATGAATATATTTATTTATCAAATCTCCTGTTGGTGGACATCACGGTTGTTTCCAGTTTTTGGTCATTACTAAAGAACTTTCTTGTATGAGTCTTCTTGTGGACATAGACTTTGATTTCTCTTCGGTAACTATAGCTTTTGTATTTAAAAAATTTTTGAACCATGTGACTGGATTTAGTGATACCTAATCAATAAATTAAATAAAAATCGAGCTTTGAATCTCTTTAAAAAATGAGGCCAGCAAATTATATTAGTAAATAAATGTTCTCTCTCTCCCCAAAAGTATTCTGAACTGTCTAATGATATCTGTTGCATGTGTAATCAAATGTGAATTCCTTTGCATAGCAATTAGGGCTGTACAGGATGTTCCTGTAATTCCATTACGGATTACTCACTGATCTCCGATATACCTAGCTTTCTTCTCCCTCAGACTTTTGTTGTCTGGAGACTACCCTACCATAAGATTTTTCCTATCATTTCTGTCAGTCTAAATCCTGCTCATCATTACAGTCAGCTTTTTTTTTTGTTTTTGGGTGGCTGGTGGGTACAAAATCTTGCTCATCCTCAAAGGCCTATTTTTAATTCTATTACTTCTGAAATCCTTCCTTATGCTTTATTTAAAACACTGGAGCAGTTTTTATCTCCTTTGNAAAAATATCTTCCTAAGGCTGAGATCTCATTTCCCTCTGGGTTGGCCCCTTGTCTTTCAGCTCCAAAGGATGTGGGCAAATGTTTGAATTGTGATTGACTTAATAGGAATAAAAAAGAGGAGGATCAGGTTCCTTTTGTCAATGCAGACATCAGTTTCCAACTCTGCTTTTCTACATTCTCTAATGTAATGGACCTGCCCAAGAGAGAAGAGAACAAAGAAACTTCTATGGGAAATTATGTCCTCTGTCAAGCCAAGACCACCCAGTGCAATAATGGAAAGAAAGAGGCTAGGCAGAGCCACAGGATAAATATTGAAAAGGATGTCTACTTAGACAAGAAATGCAACTCCTAATGTTTCATTTCTCCAAATTTTCTCTTATATAACCAGAAATTATTTCCTGCCTCTGTTTGCTCTATTTCTTCAGCTTCTTCTGAAACTGATCACTTTTTCCTTTCAATTTCCTATCACGTATGGGTCATTTTTCTAACAATAGAGATGCTAAAAGCAGCAGATTCTGCCAGACAATGACTTGAATCTCATCGTTATTAAAAATTTAAAACCTCATGGAATTTAGGCAAAACACAAAACTAATATTGTCAAAATGTTTGAAATTCTATGAAAATGAAAATAAAGACTTTAAATAGTGCAGCGGCTAAAGAAACTAATCATAGTAGTCACTGTCATTTACTGAGTGCCTGCTATGCACTTTAAGGTACCAATGACCAAGTTTAATTACAGCAGAATCATTAAAAGGTATTCTTCAAAGCAAAAGGTTGGGTCTTTTCAAAGGGGTTTCTAGAATGTATCCAAGGAATTTAGAAGCACGTTTTCTTTTTGAGCCCTGACTTTGGTACTAGAGATGGAATCGGTGGGGGGAAGGAGTTTGACTCTTTCAAAAATTAGTGGTGGCAACATGCTTGACTGTGAGCCACGGTGACTGTTGCCAAACAGTGTGGGGAAAGGCGGGGATAGGGAAGAGATGGCCGAGTTCTGCCAACATGACCTTGTGGGTTTTCATGGCTCTTAATTCTAGAGTGGGAAGCCAGACTTGAGGGTCCAGAGTCAAGTAAGGCAGTGGTCTGGACAACTGCATAATAGCAGACTTGAGATCCAAGGACTGTTGGCAAAATGCCTTTCTAGGAGCTTTAAGCAACCAAATCCATTTGCCATTTTTCTCCCCTTTGCTTCTAGAGTAATTTTAAATAGTAATATATAGCATATGAGAATATTCAGTTCTTGCTTTGTTTCAGTCTCTGTTTCAAATGATTTACATGCATTATATCACTTAACCAAATGACGACTTATGAGACAGTTAATGTAATCATTTTCTATTTACAGATAAGAAACCATGTACAGAGAGGGTTAATAACTTGCTCAAAGATGCACAGCTAGTTTGTGGTGAGTTCAGATGTCTGACTCCTGGCCACTCTGCTACAGCCCCCTCTAGAACAATTTCTCTCTGGCTTTACCACCTCTTATAAAGCTCTTCTTTCCTAGGTGCCTATACTATTTCCTGTGCAATTTCCTCATCTCCTGCAAATTGTCAAGTAATATTACAAATTTTGGAGGTTGTATCTCACTTGGGAGGGTCAGACCGATCACTTGAATGTATTGTACCCTAAGTGGAAATGCCCCCTCCCCTATGACGGAGGCACATAAAGTGTAAACTATTTCCCATGATCAGGCTAATACACAATATTTGTGAGTAAGAAACCCAAGCCATTTAACAACCAACCAGAGAGTCCAATTGTAATAAATACAGTGAAATATGA